CGGGAAGATCAAAAAATTCCATTAAGCGCGGTCCACAGCCATCTGCATCCATCAACTTCCTGTATCTCTTACCAGGTCATCACTCTATCCAGTTCAAAAGAGCGGCGAGACTTACGCAAATTTAATGCAGCTAGTATTAAAAAACGGCTGAGAGCAGAACAACTAGGGCATCCAATCCCGCACGTTATTTGTAATCTCGGTGTTTGCGAGGTCGAATTTGCTTTGCTTGGATCGCGCAAGTGTAGGTAAATACTACATGACCTGAACTGCCTTTTGTGTGTTGCGTAAAAAGAGAGGTATTATAATATAAGCCACAATAATTGACTGGGAGAGATTGCCTAAAGGCATTAAGTCCGCCCTTTGTAATCCTTTTATTAAGGTGAAATAAAGTGTAAATAAATAAATAATTAGATAAAATGTTTTTTTTTTCCTTCTTTTTCAATACGTACGAGTTTTGTTGTCTATGCAATTGTAAATAATTAAAATTAGATACTTTCTTGTAGTAAGTATTACTTGTTGTTTTCGTGTAATATTTTAATTTTTCTTTTTGTAAACAGTTTACCGGCGCGTTTGTTTGCAGTGCAATTATCAGTTAATAGGGTTTTTTTTTCTATATTTTTAGACATATATCATAAGTATAATCATATATTATGACAGATTCTGATACCAATGAACTATTTCTCTCTGCTGATTCAGATTCTTCTTTCTTTTCACTAAATGACTCTTTTTCGGAACCTACTACTCTTCGTTATCTGCTTACTCAAAAGTTTCATGGTTTGACTAATAACTTTAACGTTTGTTACATTAACGCTCAGAGCATTCCGCAACATTATAATGAACTTGTTGATACTTTTCATAATCAGTCTATTTCTGCGATACTTGTTTCGGAAAGCTGGTTAAAACCTACCTTACCGTCCACCTCCTTTGGAATAAATACCTGGTTTTGTCCTCTTAAGAAATGACCGTACGGGCAAAAGAGGTGGTGGTGTAGCGGTATACTTACGTAATGGTATACCCTATAAAAAATTATGTGCTTCTTCATCTGTTTATTCTGGTACAATAGAATACATGTTCTTGGAGATTACCATCAGTGGGACTAAGACTGTTCTCGGTGCAATTTACTGTCCACCAGGAGTTAATTATTTTTGTGACCTTGAATCGGCTCTTTTTTCTATTGGCTCTGATTATCAGCACTTTATTATAATGGGAGACTTCAATACCGATATTCTCTGTAACTCAGCGAGGTCACGTGAACTGTATACAGTTATGAACTCCTTTAATTTGTCACTTCTTCCTCTCGACCCCACACACCACAATCTTGATACTGCTGATTCTTTAATAGATTTAATAGTGGTCGCTTCTGAAGACCATGTCGTTGGCCACGGTCAACTCTCCGCCCCTGGGTTTTCGCAGCACGATTTACTGTATATTTCATATAGGATTAAATGTCCTAAGGTCAATCATGTGACGGTGCATCTGCGTAATCTAGCGAGACTTAATGTTGAAGAACTTCAGCAAGGTGCTTGTAGTATAGATTGGAGTGATACTTTCAGTGTGGAGAGTGTTGACGAAAAAGTAGCTTTTTTTAATTCAAATATACAGAAGTTGTTTGATAAACACGCTCCTCCACACAAAGTCAGACTGAAACGATCTCCTGCGCCGTGGATTACTGAGGATATCCGCAGGGCTATGGCAAAGCGTGATCGAGAATTTAGTAAATATAAGAGTAATCGGTGTACTGCTAACTGGACTCGATTCAAAGCCGCTAGGAATCGGTGTAATCAGATGGTGCGGGCCGCTAAACGCCGTTATATTCATCGAAATATCCTTAACGCTTCTATGGCTGATTCGTGGAAATTTTTAAAATCAATCGGGATAGGTAAACCTGCTTCTAACTTTGATCCTTCAATCTTCTCTGTTAATCTTCTTACAATACTTTCTCACATTGGTTTCTCCTCATCAGCGCGGGAATGGTTCGCATCCTATCTTCAGGGACGTCAGCAGGCTGTTCGCGTGGGTCCAGTTATTTCTGACTGGTGCACGCTGGTTGCTGGCGTTCCTCAAGGCGGAATTCTCTCACCTCTTTTGTTTTCAATTTTTATAAATCTAATTTACATCTCACATTCGCTGCACGTACCATCTCCATGCCGATGACTTACAAATATATGCTCAGTCTGATGTTAACGATATCGAAGATGCGATCACTGAGCTAAACTCTGACCTCACTCGTATCTCTGATTGGTCTAGCAAATTCGGTATTACTGTTAACCCTACCAAGTGCCAGGCAATTATAGTTGGAAGTAGCCGTCGCTTATCTGCATTGGATTTTAATTCACTGCCACCTGTAAATTTTAATAATGCTGTCATACCTTATTCAGCTCCTGTGAAAAATCTAGGACTTATCATTGACAGCAGTCTAAGTTGGCGGCCGCAAGTCACGGAAGTAAGCAAAAAAGTTATCAACACCTTGCGTTGTCTGTATCGACTCAAGAATTTTCTTCCAGTGAGAACAAAGGTAATGTTGGTTCAAACGCTCGTATTACCAATACTAGATTATGCAGATGTATGCTATGCTGATGCCTCTCAAGAACTTCTTAACAAACTGGATCGTCTTCTCAATAATTGTATTCGCTTTATCTTTGGCTTACGTAAATTCGATCACGTTTCTTCATTCCGTTCTCAGCTCAAATGGCTGCCTCTTCCACTTCGTAGATCTTTTAGAATCCTTTCTATGCTATTCTCTATTTTACACGATCCGTCTGTCCCTGCATATCTGAAATGCAAATTTCAGTATCAGGACGATTCTCACAACCGATGTCTCCGTTCCGCGGAAAATCTAACTCTTCATGTTCCTTTCTGTCGCACGGGCTTCTCTTACAATTCTTTCACTTCAAATGCAGTAAGACTCTGGAACATGTTACCCAGAAATATAAAAGAAGCAAAAACTAAACCTATCTTTAAACGTTTGCTCTGGGAATATTACTTAACGAAGCAGCAGTAGTTTCGGATAATAATAAAAAATTTAAAGAACCTCGGAAACTGTTATATTCTCAAATATGTATAATATAAAAATATCATATTTATTTACTGTGTATGTACTTATTGTGGGTATTTGTGTACAAATATAAAATACTATTGTATGCATGTAAGTAGTAATGTAAATGTATATGTATGTGTATTGTATTTATTATCATTATATTATAATTTTGTATTTTTTTTCCTTAAACCTTTAATTTTTTTAATTTTTTTTTAAATTATGAGTTTTGCACCCATCACTAGATTCTCTGCACAAACCAAAGGTAGACTGGTAGAGAATGCCTTTAGGCATTAAGTCCGCCGTTTTGTAAATTTCTTGTATGTGTGCAAATAAAGCTTAAATAAATAAATAAATAAATAATAAGAGTGTATAACCAGTGTGTGTTGCCAGTGATGATATAGAAATCTGAGACGTGGTCCTTCACTGCTGGCTGTGTAGAAGGCTGTGCTCGTAGTTTCCTTGCGTGATAAACTTAGAAATGAGGTTGTCCGTAATAGAACCAGAGTAACCAACATAGTGTACGAATCGGTAAGCTAAATGGCAATGGGCCGGCCATATAGCTCGAAGAATTAACATATGCTATTGTATATACTTTATACATAACCAATTTTTGTTATTTATATATTTTATTTTCCTGTATTATGATCAATCAATAAGCAAAATTCGGACTAAGCCATATCATATCACAAGTCACTCAAAGACTAGATTTTCTTTTGTTTTCATAAAATGACTAAAGACGAGGTTAAAAAGGATTCATTTATATTACACAAATCTGGCAACATAAAATACTATGGACAAAAAACGAAATGTGAAAATTAAAAAAAAAAATACTTGTCTTTCGGATCAGAAGTCTATGAAGTTTAGGTTTATCGTTTTTAGATAACTTTTTGGTATTGTTATTCGTCAGGGCTGAGAGCTGCAAAATGCACCACATACAGGTGAAGTTGGAGTTTGGGGATAAGCATCATATTTCATCATTAACATTTGACCACACATCTTTATACATTTGACGGCTCAATAGACCAATGGCTAAGAGCTTGCTGCAGTGCTGCGGGTTCTAATACCGCAAGGAGCAATCATTTGTGTGACCTACATATAATTGTGCCGTGTCGGAATAAATACAAAAGTTATGTTTTACAAATATTAGTAGATAAAAATTAAATCCAGGTTCAATTGCATCATACATATTTATTAGAATAATAACAGCCTTACAATAATATATTTCTTTAAAATTTAAATGTTTTTTGTATTTTTTATTTATAAATGCTTATATTCAACTAGAAGCAATCTCTTTTGTCTATTAATGTTTAACTAGAAGCATACTTTTTTTTAAAAATTCAAATGCAAAAAAATTGCTAGATCAAATAAAACTTACCCAATTGGTATTTTCTAAATTGCACTACATTTAACTACGAGTACTTTAAATTTAATTTTCTAAAATAAATATATTTTAATTAATGTTATATTTTCGTGACAATAATTCTTATTTATTGGTATTGCACAGCAGTATTTTCCAAATATTTGATACATTTTTTAAATTTTAATCACCTACTCTAATATTTTAATTTATTTAATTATATAAGATTTCTTACATTAAATTGAATACAATAATTAACATCTATTAAATAGTGTTATAATAATATATGCAAAGTACACATACAGGAATAGTTAAATAAATAAGTCAGATAATCAAAATATTTCATTTATGCGAAATTGAAATATTTACGTGAATGGAAAATTTATAACAGCGTAAAATATTTTTCTAAAAAGATTACTATTTACAAACTAAAACTACTTACACTGTAAAATCAAACAATTGTGCATAAAACAAAACTCCTTTACATTTATTATAAAAATATTAGAAAATTATATTAAAATAATTCATTATGAAATACGAGTACAATAAGATAATCGTTGAGTTTACAAATAAAATAAAAGAGACAAAAGGAGTTAAATAATTAAATTATTTCCCAATTTTACCTTTATAATGTAAGCATTTCTTACAAATTGCATCAGCCCTATCTCTAATTGAAAGTGCTGGTATCGCTCTTTCGGACTCTGGCTTAGGATCTTCAATTTCAAAGGGGCCTTCACTAAATTGTTGAATTATTTTCTTTATGTAATTACCGGGACCTCTTATAGTTAATTTAGAGCTGCAAGCGTCGTTTCCGCTTATTTCATGTTTATCGTCCATATCTTTTTGTCGATACTCGCTAAACATATCAAGTCCATCTTGAAAATTTTCAAATGCTTGTGTAATTTTATCACCAATGTTAAGTTTTTCTTCAATTGCATTAAAATGTACCGGTTTCTCAGACATGTCGTTATAATCGTCAAGAAAGTTTCTGGTTCCGTTAGGAGTTATAGTAATTTCATTACTTTTCATGTCTATAGTTACTTTAGCATCTTCAAGGTTCAAACCCATAAGAGATACGTCCATGGACTTAGATCTGTGTGGTCTAGTAACAACCGGTACTTGTAGCTGAGTTGAATCTGGAACTATATCATGCTTTGTACCGCTAGATGTCACTGGCGACGATGACTTAGATGATTTTTCGCCGGGGCTTGATCCTGAATTTTAACAATCTTTTAAAAAGAAAAGAACACAATATTTACAGTATTTTAATTTAGTTTCATAAATTGGTTAAATCAATCCGTAATACGTTTGTTATTAAATATAAAATGAGAAGTTTAAGAAAATTCGTTATTAGCACATTAATTTGCCAATAACAACTGCAACATAATTTAGCAATTTATTAAGAATCTTTAACTTAGCTAAAACAATTAAAGAACCCACCACCAACAATATATTTGTTACCTCAATAATTCGCTCCAATGGGTTCACTCTTTGATCCTAAAATAATGTATAAAATATCCAATTACTTTTATTTTCATTAGTAACAAAAATTCTAATGCATGTATCAAGCAAATAAAGCTCAGTACGAGTATGGAAAAATGAACCAGTTTTTAAATCGGAAGAACCATCACACCACAAGAAACTTTAACATAGTACAGAGAACGTGAAAAAATATTTGTTATCAATGAAATAATGTTTTGCAGTAATTATGTTCTGAATTTAATTTATAAAATTTAAATAATTAAATATGATTAAAATTCACATCTACAACATACTTTTTAAAAAGTTGAAATCATTTGAGGTATATTTTGAAACTACATGAACGTTGACTTAAAAAAAAAGTTGTTGCTCTTCAAATTATTAATTATTACTGGGATTCATGATCGGACGTACCAGTAGAAACCTCTTCTCTTTCTTCTTCAGAACATTGAGGAAGCGATTGCTCCATCATGAGGCCCTGCACCATATCCATGCAGGAATCCAGCGAGAATTTCTTACCGCACATTTTGATACCGCGAATACGTCGACGCATCTCTGGTTTTAAAGAGACAATATGTTTGTTGTTAGGTTTTATATATTGTTATGTCATCAAATGGATGTATGAAGACAATATGCGTAAAAAAGGCTTTTTTGCTATATAAAATATTTCAAGTATTTCTATAAATTAAAATCACCAATATTGAACGCTGAACAAATGCATTGAGTGTTAGAGACTTTAGAAATAAATTAAAATATTGTTGTTACATTAAATAATGGTAATAATTTCATAATTAATTAGTGAAGCTTTTATATATTAGATCTCTCAGTATGTCAGAAACAGAGTAATAAAATGAATGATCCAAATGCAACCAAGCGCACGAAATATTAATAAAATGCATGAGGAATATTAGCGATGCATAAGCAAAGTTAAATTGATATCTATACAAATTAATAAAATTGAAGTATCTGTTTGTAATGTCAAAATAACATTTAACAAAAAACAATTTTTACTTATTTTTGTCAGTCTGTCTGTCTGTTTGGTCCGGCTAATGTCTCAAATGGCTGGACCGATTGTGACCGGACTTTCTCTCGCCGATAGATGTTATAATGAGTAGCTAACTTAGGCTACTTTTATTTTAGGAAAAAAGTTAAATAAATTAGGGTTCAGCGCAAAAAAAATTAGAACCTACGAAATCCAATCGTAATAAGTTCCATGCGAATGAAGTCACGGGGAACAGCTAGTTTTGTAATAAATTTAGTTGTTTTCATTATTCATTAAATCTTCAAGTCATCGACTCACCGGGGCTATCTTTAGGCTCCATTTTTAACTGAGCGAAAGTTTGCGCACAGGAATTAAGCACTTGTTCGTAGTCACATATAGCAGCATGAGTCCCATTGACGATTTTTGGACTCATTGGACTGTTGGCTAGCAGAAGACTTGTTCCAAAAGTGGCGTTAAGCTCCCTAGTTTCTAAAATCAAAATAGTATAATATTTTTACAATCATTGTTATATAAAATCTGATTAAAGATCTTGTATCGCCTTCATATTTGGGTATATTTATCAGTCGTTGTTAGAAGAATATTTATCATAAATGTGATCAGATCTTTATCTATTACGAAACTGCTTTGATATGTAAAACTCCGAAAAGTTTACCTTTTAGGGAGATCCTTGGCTTCTTTGGTACAACAATATTTCCGTATTCAGATCCAAACATTTCGGTTATAATTTCAGCAGCTACCGTCTTAATTTCGTTCCAGTCATCTAAAAAAATATTTTAATCTAATATATAAAAATCGATGTTTGTTTGTTCATATTTTATGCGCTGCCATACCGTTCATCAGATTGTGCTAAAACTTTGTCAACTTATTGCTTGCACGTGAGCGAAGATTATAGGCATAGTAGAATTAAATTACAGTAGGTAGCGCGCCTATAGTATCGACAAATTTATTTAAAAGTTATGTATAACTTCATTTCAATGAATGTATTATCACTAATTAAACAATTTAATTCCTACAAATTTAAAAAGTTATTTCTTCAATTGTTTTTTCTGAGGTCAACGAGGTGCGACCCGCCGGGAACCAACTGGTTAGTTATAAAAAAATACATTCAAGAAAGTGTAAATAAATAGAATGAATGTTGTTGCATAATTTTTGGAGTATTAAACGTAAAGGAAAATTCCAACCCTGAAGGGAGCCAGGCAGCTTTTGTCAACTTCGATGAGGAGTTACAGAATCTCCATTCAGGAAGTGACCGTAGTCTCACCACCACTTTGTTGTGAATTCAGTTTGTCTGCGCGTGCTTACGAAACTCCAACCTCGCGGAGTTGTATATGATATTTCAATACCACGTCAAATCCTACTTCTCCTTAAGGTCCGCCTGATTAGCATGTCACACAGTAAGAGTCACTAAAAGTCACGTGTCCTAGATTTGAATCCCAATTCAAACAAAAAACATTAATTGTTGGTTTTGTGTCCAGTTGTTATTGCCCTTTTGTTTCTGACATTACCACCAAGCCTGCCTCTAATCTAATCACATAATAAGCGTTCATTGGGCACGAGTAGATTTAAGGCAAATGGGTGCATCTGCATTTGCTTGCACTAATATTCGAAAATCAGCCAAGGCACTATAGACGTAGTGTCTATAGTGCCTTGGCTGATTTTCGAAAGTATTAAAAAGTAGGATAAATCGTAATTTTGTAAACTGCGTTTATCAAAATTACATCAAAGACATAATAGCAAGAATAATATTAAGATTAAATGTCACCGAGAATATCCTGATTCGTTGTCCTTTGCGAAGTCACAGTAAAACGTATCACGTAGACACTTTTGAAGCAAGCAGGAACAGCATGAATGTAGCCGCGAGCATTTAAACGTTTTAACAAGCACTCGGTCAGAGTATTATCGCCTTTAAGGCGGAATACGACCATTCCTAAAACAGAGAATCATATAAAAACATAGGTATTTGTGGCGAAATGTTAAAGATAATAAGTACGGAATGATATATTTTACATCTTAAATAGTTATTATTGCATAGTATTTTTATAATTTATAGATTTTTACATACAGAACCAATAATTAAATTGTTTATTTTGTATAAAAAATACTACATACCTAAGTTCCTTGGTTGTGGCATTTCAAAACGTTGGTCGGCTAGTACGAGAGCTTCAAACTTTTGTGCTAACCGTACACTCTGAAATAATGAATTATTACCTAGTAAAGCATTGAGTTATATGTACTACGTACTAGATAAGCCATTCTAAACAAAACATGTGCACTACTCTATGTCTCGGCGCATGCGCGGGAGATAGTAGAGTCGCGCATACGCAGTTGCGCCACCACAGACTAACTAGTAGATTGAAACCACACTAAATGACACACTGTACGGATTGCAGTACAGTTCAGTTGAACACAGTGTATATTCGGAATGCGCAATCTAGTACGTAGTACATAAATATCGATGCTAGTAAAGGCATCTATTTTCACATATGTTTTGATTTGTTCACCTCCCCTGTTGTATAGAACACTTAACAGGCAGGTTGGTTATCGCAGTAACAGACCTTGACACAGACACAGAACACCTTAGACACTGTTGCCTGTCACCAGTAGGCATATTTTACGTTTAGCGTAAAGGGCATAGCTATGCCGACATCTGTCGAAAGCGTTGAGTTATATGTACTACGTACTAGAGAAGCCATACCAAACAAAATTTGTGTCCTACTCTATGTATTCGCGCATGCGCGGGAGTAGTAGTCTCTACTCCCGCGCATGCGCGAATACATAAGACTTTAATTTAATATAAAATAAGATATTAATATAAAATAAATATAAGAATTTAATATAAAATATCTTAATTTAATCTAAACAAACATATTTCTTAATAAAATGTAATAATAATAATTTTATGGAATTCACAAATCTTCAATTTACGCAATATTTAGTTTGTATGGATTGCACTACAGTTCAGTTGAACATAGTCAATCTTCGGAATGGCTTCTCTAGTACGTAGTACTCGTACATATAACTCAATGGTCGAAAGCCATGCGATATTTTCCACCCACGAAACAACGATGGCCCATAAACGGCACACGGTTTTAATTTAAGTATACAAAATTATTTTAAGCATACGTATTCAAATATTCAATTGTGCAGTAAGTAAGTAACATTTAATAGGCGTTGCAAAAAAAATATTGCGGTTAATTTTAAATACTTTACGAACAGACCGCTACTCATTTTTCACCTCTGTATACAGAATAGATAAGAATCAAACTTGCTGCGTGGGTTCGCGGAATATACAAGATCTATAAATACTTTTATTTTCTATACATCAAGTAGATTTCTTTACGATGTTTTAGCTACTAAGTTCTCGTAAGATATTGATATTAGTACCTCACGAATATGCTTTTGCAATCCCATAACGCCATAATTTCTCAGCACAAACCAAAGCTTCAAGGCTCTAAATCGTCGACTCAATGGAATCTGCCAATGCTGTGAATGAAAAATTTATTAATTAAACAAAAGTTTCCTGTCTTGTACAAGTAAACAGGTTAATAATTGTACATGCCAATTTGTTAATTTTTAAATGTCTTTCATTGTTTATACGAACCGCTATATTATTTGTTAATTTAAATGAAGCATTAAATAACTGTGGAAGTTAAAAAGTAAATAATAAAGGAATATTAAAACCTATATATATCTTATGTATATAAAGCGAGCAGCCGAAACCATAGTCAACTTATTCTAGGAACACGCATCTAACGTCATAGTTTTAGTGTGCGTATCTAGAAGTTGAGGATACTTTGGCGTTACTTGAAACGTAATGTTCTGTCTATCTTTATTTGTAGCTCTTAGTGTATTGGTTATATCGAGTATTTGTTTCTTTTTTAATAAGGTTGTTATTTTATTTGTCATAAAAACCACCACCGAAACCGTCACACCACCATACATAAAAACTAATATCATACGAGTGGTTCCTTCTTATCTGGATTTTCTAGCTGAATCTGTGTACCGCAGCCTGGTGATATTTTGTTATAGCCATGGAGATTTCTCAATTTTTCATCACCATCTTCATCATGACTGCTGTCTCCGTTGGGATAGCATTCACTCTTACTACCGTTTGAAATGATTTTTTGATCTTCTTTTGTTTCGACGTTTACAAGTCTTTTCTTTGTGTTGGAGTTCTGTGTTCCGACCTTTTATTGCATATTTGAAATAGAATATTAATTATATTTAAAAATAATTACAATGCTAAAAGTGAAGGACAAGAAGAAAACTTGGAAGCGTGTGTTGGGTAACGGGCCTTAGCTTATATTCGCGACACAGAGTTCATAGCATACTCGTTAAAAATAATAATATAGGAGATAAAGAGACTTTTAAAGTTTTTACTTTTAAAAATATTAGCTCGTGTCTTGTGTAGTGATCACAACTAAAATCGCTCACTGTTCACATGCACCCGGAAATGTAGGACAATAAGATCTTCGTGAATATTTCGTATCGTTGGCTGTTGTTGTCTTTGAATGTGTTTACTTATATAATATATAATATATGTATATTAAAGGAGACTGATACGCTTTCATGCATTCTTGGGCCCAGATTGTAAATAGATGTAAGTGGTATCAAAACATCACTGAAAATTCGGCGGACTCTGGCAATCTGAGAGCAAAGTTATAAGAGATTTAGTAAAACACAGAAACACTCAAAACGCACACGTACTGAACGATACGAGACGAGTGATCATAGATTGAGTCAGGCAGGAGCTGTCACTGTCAGCACAGATTAAAAATACAGTTGACAAACACGAGTAAGAAATCGAACTGTTAACGAGAATCAATTTTAACATTTATTTTTATTGTGTTGATATTTTATTTTTTAAACTGTTGACACTATGTTAATTGTAATTTATATTATTACTTTGATTGATTTATTTGCATAAATTTCAATTGAACATACATCCACGCACGTAAAAAAATATTATTTGTAGTTCTAACAATCTTATTTCATGCGGAAATCGTATCCGCGATCTGCTAAACCACAGCCAAACAATTGCCACTACACAATCGAGCCTTTAATGTCGTCTCTACAGCCAATACATGATGTGAAGACGTTTACTATAATATGGTTACGTTAACGTGATGTTATCAAATCTTTGCATTTAATATAAAGTTGAAAACTTACCATATAATCTATCGCTTTTCCTGAAAGGAATAAAATAATGAATTAATATTTTTACCAGTGCTTCACTTATATAATATATTTTAGAGGAAAAATAAACCATAATCACAATTACTTAGTACGCTATTTACAATCATTCATTAGCAGTCATTTATATGATATAATAAATGCAAGAACAAAATTCTAAATTGGTTGCTAAGCTTTGACAACTTGGAAATAGAGAAGTTAATCAGTATTTACATTCAAACAAACTAACTCATTCATACACACACAAGGGCGCGCTCGCGCGTATGCCCAAACCCACATGTTTGTGGTAACTAGAAAGTTTTCTCTTCTTTGTTAATATTTATTTTAAGCTTGTTTTGAATTCTACAATAAAAATAATATTGATCTATGTTCTATAATAATTATTTGTATAAAATGTTATATAGTAAAATTCTACAATAATAATAATATAACTATGCTCAATGACCTCATTAGTGTCTCCCAATGGATTGGTCTTAAAATGAACACGGACAAAACAAAGATCGTAAGAAGTAGTTGTTAGGAGCACTAAGCTCGAAATTGTTGACGACTATTTTTACCTGGGACAAATAGTTCGACAATGTAAGTACAACTTCGACCGAGAGGTCAATTGACGGATTCAACTCAGCTGGACAGCGTTCGGGAAACTACGACACATTTTCTCGTCCGGTACCTATACCTCAAAACCTGAAAACGGGATTGTACAACCCGTGCGTGTTGCCAGTGATGACTTATGGATATGAGACGTGGTCCTTCACTGCTGGCCGTATGAGGATGCTCAAGGCCGCTCAGCGAGCTATGTAGAGCGCTATGCTCGGGGTTTCTCGGCGTGATAAACTTAGAAATGAGGATATCCGCAGTAGAACCAGAGTGACCGACATAGCCCAACCGATTAGTAAGCTAAAGTGGCTGTGTGTAGGCCAGCCATATAACTTGAAGAACCGACAACCGATGGGGAAAACAGTTTCCCGAGCGCAGTCTCATACCGGTAGGCGAAGTGTAGGGTGAACTGACTTATGAAGGGCTGTAATGATGATGATGATGAATAATACAAAAAAAATTGTTTCGTACGACTTAGGGTAAAAGACGCCGACGACTGTAGCACACTATATATACATCACTATACATACGGTAACCTCGTGATCCAGGTCCAGATATTTTGTTCGTTTATCTGTTTGGGCTTTCACGAGGTTTCCGTTTTCGTCTACGGAATAGTAATGTTGACCAAAACTATCCTTGACTGAGCCCGGTCCTGATGGACAATATCAGGCTTATTCGCAAGAATAATCCTATCTGTGATGACGGTCCGGTCCCAGTAGAGCCTGGCGCTTTCATTTTGTAGCACGCCTTCCGGCAAGTACTTGTAATAAGGCAATTTCCATTCCACAAGACCGTATTTCAAAGCGACGTCCTGGTGCAGAATTCTGGCTACTAGGTTGCGGATATAACAAGACTTGCCGGGATAGCGACTAGCTCGACAGATGTCGAATAATTATTATTAAAATGATTTATTAAAAGATTCTTCTGTTAAAATTAGATAACGTACCAGAATTTTCGTGACGTAAGTAAATAGGGTTCACGTTGAACGTCCTGTGAAGAGCTGTGCTATCTTTTACCCTGAAAATAAATTACACTTATTTTAATGTTCGATTTTCAGTATTCTATAATAAGAACTTTAACATGTATACAAAGTTTTAATTTGACTGTTTATTAAATAATATTAAATAATATTTAATATTTGTTTACTTCTGAGATAAAGTATTAATATTAAACAGTGAATATATTAAATATTATTACTTTGAGCAAAAACGAGAAAAGTTTTTAATATTTATGATTCTGATGAACACGTGTGATTTCACTAATATTCACAATATAATTTACGTGGTAGTGCCATGCTGCAGCTATATTAGTAGTATAGTTGTAGCACGAATGGGTCGGCTCGATCGGGGAAGGACCACGCTCTCACAGAAAACCAACATGAAATAGCAGCTTAACGTTTCTGTGTTTCGTATGGTGAGTGTAGAGAACCGGAGACCCCTTTTACTGGCAAAGAGGCATTCCATCTTAGTCCTTACGGGTGACAACGCATCTGTATCTTGAGTCTTTATTGAGGATAGATGTCTATGGGTCACAGTAACCACTTACCATCAGGAGAACTGTGTGCTCGTTTGTCACCCTATCCTATAAAAAAATATGACCGATACTTTTGGTTAACTCTTCAGTTCATCTTTAACATGAGTTCAAATCATCAATAAAACTGAATTATTTGCAGATCTTTCCAGTACTGATACATACAAATATAAAGTACTAATATCTCGGCACTTAAAGTGTTGTTAGGTCTTAAGGTGTCGTTTTTATATTTTTAATTATTTTTGGGTTTTAGGCAGTAGTTAATTTTTGTAGTTTTTCAAAATTTTACTAATAATAACGTCACAGAGTGGGCTCAAGAGTTTCTGCCTTTTGTCCTAGTTACTGTCCTACCTTTGTCATGCACAAAAGTGTAATAATAAATTTATAAATTGACATTTGACATTTTAAAATAGATAACATGTCTTTTATTTAAAATATTTGTAAAGTAGCCCATTTGTCGATTCAAATATAATGTAAACTTTAGGAAGACAGTCCCTCCAGTCTAGTCTAGTCTAGCTTAGCGATGGGCAACGCAAGAGTAGTAATGAATCAATTAATTTAGATATCAAGAAAAGTAATAAATATGTTCCACTAGATGAAGTGACGACCTGGTAAGACATGCAGGAAGTCGGTGGATGCAGGTGGGTCAGGACCGTGCTTTGTGGCATTCCTTCGGAGAAGCCTATGTTCAGCAGTAAACTTGTGATTGGTTGTATTGATAATGATAATGATGATAGAATAAACAAAACCAATACGTTGACTTTTGAGAACTTGACATTTAATAAGCTTCAAAATCCACTTTTAAATCACTAGATATTGGCTTTAATTTATTAAGCCTAATTTACGACGACATATAAAAAAGAAATAAAGGATAATCAATTTTATGCATTTATTTATTTATTTATTTGTTAGGAAATATCATTTTCAAAATATTTCAAAATCAGCATGGCTTATAATTTTCTCTAGATTCCGAATTACTGCAAAGTTTTTACAGTAAAATACAAATAATACCCTATTAATTTATCAAAGTTAATGTAAAAATTATAAACGTAAAACTTAATGCCTAGTAAATAATTAATATTTTTTATCATCAGTGAAGCCTTTTTTGTCTTTTTGTTCCAAGGCAAATGATTGATTCATTTTTCTCCAAATGTTAAGCCAGTGCCGCGAGTTTTTTCAAGGTTAATCTTATTGGTTAATCACATTTATAATTCATTTTTGTCCCCTAATTCATATTTTACATATTCTAGGAACCCTTTTTACTAGTAATAATGGATTCTATCGTAGTCTTTTAACCGAGACATCGCATTCCGTATTTTAATTTTTAATTGAAGATAGAAGTCTATGGGCCACATTATCCACTTACTATCAGGGCTAGGTGCTCGTTATCTTCCTTACTATAAAAAAAATTAAAGTACTTACCACATAGCAGTGCAATCGAAATTCACCATCAGCCATTTTGATGGATTGAAAGCAAAAGAATCAGCTAATTCCACACCATCAAGCCAATGCCTAAAATAAGAAAGTAAAGCTTCAGTGAATAAATAACAAGTTAAATAAAGTCTAGTCGATTTTTTCTATTTTTAATATCAAAGTACTAAAATCTTATTTGGACCTGTGTCATATAGGATAACCATAAAACTAGGAACTAACAATTTATTAATAATCCAGTAAATTGGATTTATTTTAAGTCATGTGTACTAGCTCAATCACGAGCTTACAGTGAAGCTGGACGTTAAGTGTGTATAACAAACGCAAATTCTTATAAAAAATAGTGTCCAAAGCATTTAAAATATATGAAAACGCATTGAGAACATTGCATTGCAACAGGGTCTGTCTATGATGACACCACGCTGCACTCTCCCTGCTAAACGCTCGTATCGTTAGGCTAAGGCATACTTAATACATCTAATGTATTTTTTATTCGTGCGAATAGCTATGCAGATCTAGCAAGGTCATTATCACTGCTACGAGTATGATCTAACGTGATTGCTCCTTTAATTGAATTATATCTTCAATTAATTTAATAATTTCCACTTATTCTGGGCTAAGTAAATAATTTCCCAGGTGAGTGTTACGTTTCAGATGCAGTTAGAATATGCAGTTAGAGGTATTTAATCCGTTAACAGAATCGACACATTCGTGAGTTAAATCAAAAGCAAGACCAGCCAGTAGTCATATTTGTGAAACAGCAAAATAAAAATTTCTTTGTCATCCACATTACAGCCCTTCACAAATCCACTGATGAACATAGGAATGCCACAAAGCACTGTCCTGAGCCACCTGCATCCATCGATTTCCTGGATGTCTTACCAAGTCGTCACTCCTTCTACTGGGGGTTCGCCCTACACCCTACCGATATGAGGCTGTTCTCATATGGCCAGCAGTGAAGGGCTACATCTCAGATTCATAAGTCATCACTGGCAACATGCACTGGTTGTACAATATAGTTTTCAGGTTTTGAGGTATGTCTGACGAGAATATTGTCTTGATTTCCCGAACGCTGCCCAGCCGATTTGAATCCGTCGATTGACTTCTCGGTCGAAGTTGGACTTACCTAGTCGGACTATTTGTCCCAGGTAAACATACTCGTCAACAACTTCGAGTTTACATGAATTAAATAAACATTTAATTCATATAAAACCAATATGTCGATCATCACGAATATTATTTTTACGTGGTGAAGCCATGCTGCAGCTATATTGTGGTTTCAGCATGAATGGGTTGGCTCATCCGAGGTGGGACTACGCTCTCACAGAATACCAGCGTAAAATAGCAGCTTAATGCTACAGTGTTTCGTATGGTGAGTGTAGAGAACCGGAGCCCCTTTTTACTGGAAACGAGGCATTCCATCGCAGTCCTCAGGGTTGACAACGCATCTGCATTTTGATTCTTAATTAAGGATAAATGTAGATGTCTATGGGCCACACCATCCACTTACTATCAGGTTGACTGTGTGGTCGTTTATCACCCTTATTCTACAAAAAAAATTTATTAAATTGCGGAGTAAGGTTTTTAATATTAAAAGAAATATGATAACTAAATTTTATTTATATACCTATATTCAGGACAAACGAATGCGCTGCCTGCATACGCAGCATCCACGTGTAACCACGCAGAATGGTTTCCGCAAACCTGTCCAATCTCCCGCAGATTGTCAAAAGCTACAGATCCGGTTGTACCCAATGTTGCACACACCTGAAATAACATTTATCATTGTAAAGTATAGAATCTCAGATATACGTATATAAAATTAAAGCGAAATTACCGTATATTACATACAACATAATAAGGTCTGCGCAAGTTTCACATCCATATTATAAATTAAAGTACCAAACTGCCAGCCAAGAATAAATAATTGGACTGTTCTAGTTTTTTTTACGTGGTAGCGCCATGCGGCAGTTATATTATGGCTGTACCAGGAATAGATAGGGTACATATTGATTCTTAATTGAGGGTACAATATGTAGATGTCTATGGGGATCCATTCGCTATCTAGTAGGCAGTGTACTCGTTTACTTACGTCGCCCTTATACTACTAACAAAAATAAAAGATGTATAAACAAGCGGTATGAACATTTATGTTAACATTCACAATGACGTAATTATTTGTGTATTTACCTTAATAGCCAACGATCATTTAACTTCGTTGAGAATTTTGAAGCTATTTGAAAACATTTCACTAGAATAATAATGGATTTAAATTATTATGTTGGCACTACACCGAATCTATCCATCACTAATCCACCGAATATATCATCCTATTGTTGGAGCACATGAACTAAGGACGAACCTTATTATTCGCGTCAGTATAAAATTAGCGAGGCAATTTTGAGACGCGATATGCGCTTAAATTATAATTAACAGTCTCATTGAAGCTTAATAGTTTCCTGTTGCTTCACTTATAATATTTTACTAAGTAGCTACTCGTATCGTAACCCGTTCGTTCTATTCTCCTGCCTAAGTATAATAGCGTCAAAACTTTGAAAGTTTTTTACAAAATAAAATATTTATTATTTTAGAATAATAAAATATTTGAAATATATTTTGTTATTATTATCATCTTAATATCCTTATTTACACGTTCGTAACGTGCAAATGACGTAACGTAAACAAAGGATAAACATTAATGAGCTATCTATTGTAAATCCCCTGGATACTGATCTAATTTATTAAAATTAATGTTTTCCACTTATTCTGGGCTAAGTACGTAATTTCCCAGATGAAGGTTACGTTTGTGTATTAATTTTCAGAAGCAGTCAGAATGTGTAGAGGTATTTAATCCGTTAACAGAATCGACACATTTGTGAGTTACATCAAAAGCAAGACCGGTCATTAGTCATATTTGTGAAACAGCAAAATAAAAATTTCTTTATCATCAACATTACAGCCCTTCACAAGTCCACTGATGAATATAAGCCTCCCCCAAGGAATGCCATAAAGCACGGTCCCGAGCCATCTGCATCCATTGACTTCTTGCATTCTTACCTGTTCGTATTTTATGCGCTGCCATACCGTTCATCAGATTGCACTTAAACTTTGTCAACTTATTGCTTGCAGTAGGCGGTGCGGTTTTCATACCGACAAATTTATTTGAAAGCATTATATCTTTCAATTTGATTATGAATATATTATCATTCCTAATTAAACTATATAACTCTTGCAAATTTAAAACGATATTTCTACCACAAGTGGGGTGCGGAAAGTAAAGACTGTGTTAGAACTTACGAATGAGGCGGAGCTACTCGTATAGCCAAAATAAAATTTTATTTTTTTGGTTTCTGGCCATTTTAACCCCCTAGGAGTGTAATGAGAACTTTTTGCCCCTATTCAACCATGACCCCCATAACATCCTCTATCATTATAGGCTATTCAAACTGACTATGCCTAATGTTCGAGCCACTTCAAATTTTTTTTGGTTTTTGGTCATTTTGATCCCCTAGCAGTGTAATGAGAAATTTTGCCACTATTCAACCATGAGCCTCATGATATTTTCTACATGATAGGCTATTCAAACTGACTAGGCCTAACGTTCGAGTCACTTCCAATTATTTCTTCTGCAGCAGCAAAGCGCCTGGTACCAGCTAGTATATTATAAAAAATGTCATTTAAATATAAAAATAATAATACGTTTTAATTATATATATTTTACATAAATTAAATTAATTTTACAAAATTGGTTTAATATTTATAAAATATGGCTGTTAATTCAGTGAAATGTATTAATACAATAGAATGTGCAAGTTGCAATGTTGTAATTTCGGAAGTTCTTGCGTTCATTAGAAGCAGAAATGATGTTATGGACAATGAAAACTTAATAAGATTAAGTGTGTCGGCATTTTCTAAAGAGGAGATTGATGAATCCAAGAAGTTATTGTTTACTTCGACTAAGACGAATCGAAAAATAATTTTAAGACAAAAAGACAAAAAGCAAAAAGACCTGGACAATATGATGTCTGTGCTTAAAACAACTGATTGTGAACAATTACCAGTATTTATACCTTATGATTTGTTAAAAGATACCAAATGGTTAAAAGATATTTTAGTTCTACGTGCTCAAATAACGGAGCTTAAAAACGATTATGTGACTAAAGAACATCTAGAAACATTCTTGAAAATGGTAGCAGATCAATTACCAAGTCAAATTTTTAACCAAAATGTGAACGAAATTAGAGGAGGATATACAGCGGACAGTGGGCCGTTTCGATTGCAACCGTTGTCGCCAGAGAAAGAGGCACAGAGCAACACGGTGTCGCACAGTGACGATAATATTGCACTGAGATATCGCTTCCTCATTTACTCTTCGCAGTTACACCTGTTAACTTAACTGTACTGGAAGACCGAGATGGCTTGACTGTTCGCTCGTCAAGGAAACAGATGCGTAAAGCTTCAATGGCAGATGTTCTTAAACAGTGCGAGTGGCTTGAGAACAAAAATAAACCAAGAAATCACTGGATTTTAGTGCAACGTAAAGAGTTCAATAATTGTTTTAACGGAAAGACAAAGAAACTACTGAGAATGATATTTGTAGTTATATTCAAAAAATGACAAATCTGAAGGTACATTTGGAAAAATCAGTATGAAAGTAGAAATGCTCTATAATTCATTTAATGGTATTTGTTGCTAAAATGAGCATGTTCTTAGATGATAAGCTATGGCCAGAAGGCATCAGGTTTAGAAATTTTATTTACTTTAAGAAGAATAGTGACAGCGTTAAGTCTCTGCTTGGTGGTCATAAAATCTCCAACACTTAAATGCACTACAGTCTTAAGAACGTTACCGTTGCAACCTTCAGCTGTAAAAGCGTTCTGCGTTCAATCGATTGCCTAAGAAAACTATATAACCTTCTCCCCCCGGACCGCGACTAGTTTGGACGTCTTTTAATTATTACTCCACGATACTTTATTTTTTAATTTTAAAATAGTATTAATTTATTTCGATACTAAAAATAGGAGTGCATAAACTGCCAGGAGCTTAGCTGCAAGTAATCAGGTGACATACTACTGCGCCTTCGCATTAACTGTTGTAGTGGTTGTGAGTGAATCACTGTGTGTACTATCGTTTCTAAGAGAAAACAAGACGTCAATTCGACACGACACCTCTCTGTCATCTACTGCGCGTAAGTTACAATACTGTGCTATTCGTTATACATTATACGAGTTACGCACACTATTCCGTTTGTTTACGTGTATTCAAGGATCTATCATAGTTGGACGGAAAGAGTTTTTGTAAGAAATCGTCGATCACCGACCATTTTAGCTGACCCCTGCAGCGAGACTACTTCTGTAAACTACAGCAAACTTTTGGGAGCCTAGGACTTTGAGTTTGATTTAAAACTAAGCATGCCACTCAAGCGAACGCCGCCTCCCACCTCACCGCCAGCGGAAAAAAACAAGAATAAGAATGTGAGCTGTACACCTATAAATATTTGTCCCAGCCTATCTACTGAAAAGCCTTCTTCAGAGCGTGATAATGTCACCCTAAGGAAAAAAGGTGTTATTGATTCTTCTAGTATGGAACTATTTATGAAGGAAATCAGGGAAATTAGAGAAATTATAGTTAAGTCTAACATTGTAAAACATCAGAGTACATTGACTTCTGTACAATCCTCTGTGAATGAAATACTATCCCAATATAAAGATATTAAAGAATCAATCGAGATGATATCTAAGCAATACGATAGTATGAAAATCAAATTTGATTCCCTCGAAAAGCAAAGAAAGGAAGACCGACTTTACATCGTTGAACTTGAAGGAAGAATAAGCTCTCTAGAGTCAACTATTGTAGCATCAAAGCTTGAGCTTAGAAACATCCCTGTGGGACCCAGTGAATCCAAAGAAAGTCTGTGCGACATTGTTTTAAAAACTGCTAAGGCCCCAGAAGTGCCTCTTCAACAGCCAGAAATAAAAGACGTGTTCCGCATTAAAAACAAAACTGGTAACGGAAATATTATCGTCGACCTTGCAACTACCATAAAGAAAGAAAATTTCTTGAAAAAAGCGCGCAAATTTAATAAAAAAAATAGCTTAAATAAATTAAACACAACACATCTCGCACTGGATGGGCCACAGAAGCCGATATTTATTTCTGAACATTTAACGCAGAAAGCTAGGCGCCTCAACTACTTAGCCAGAACTTTTGCGCAGGAAAATGGATATAAGTTCTGCTGGACTTCATACGGACGTACATATCTACGTCAAGATGAGGGCAAACCACATATCAGAGTGGACTCTGAGTCAGATTTAGCTAAGCTGCGAGGCCAGAAATGACTGTATGAGATCTCCGGTAGAATTTTGGTTACTACTTACATTGATTTTATTTATCATCAAATATTTATTGATTATTTCTTTAATTATATATATAACATTGTATATATTTTACTGAACGGTACGACATACATTCTCATTACTATTTTAACCGTACTGTATATTTTTACAATACATGGTTTTTCTCGAACAATTTGTGGGATGGCTCTCAATAGCTATTATTTAAATCAGAACTATAGATGTGACAATGAATTTTTCGTCTTTAAAAATGCCTGAATTACAGAATCAAATTCTATCTGATATTGATAATATTAGAATGGCTTCATCTTTTGTGTGTGATGTTTTAAAATGCAATGATATTGTCAGGAAATCCTGTAATTCGTTGAATATCATTGCACAAAATATACGTAGCGTCTATAAAAACCTGGATGG